TTTTGTCCGGGAAATGGACAAATCGTTTTTAGACAGTTCGAATATTTTTTTGATGACAAATATGTTTTGCAATATATTTTGCAAAATTTCTTTTTTTGAAATGGATGAGGCGAGGAGATTGAGGAAATGACATTTTGGAGGGTAGTTGGTGAAATGAATGAGGCGAGGAGAAAGGAGAAAAGGATGGCGAAAATTTTGGAAAAATGATGATAAAAAAACGGATGAGATGGACAGAAAGGAATGTAGAAAAATGATGAAAACAAATAAGGGTAGAAGATGGAAGATGAAAAAAAATGTAGGGTGGGGGGTATGTATGAAAGCAATTTATTGCTGGGCGTGGCCCTCCACTACTTAGGGACCCCCAAAAATGGGCCCAAATGCTCCAAACTTGGCACCCTCACGCCCAAAAGAATCCCTTGGCAGCCGGGCCCTTGAGCTGCACGCCTCGACCTGCACGGCGCAAGGTCCGAGAGCTCTGGCGAGGGGGTCCCTTTTTTGCTCGTCTTCTTCTCTGCTTAAGGAGGGGGAGGCGGGGCTGGGCCGTGGGCGGGGGCTGGTTGTGATTCGTTTTCTTTCTTGTTTTTCCTTTTTTTTCCGGGGGGAAGGGGGAAGGGGAGTTCTTTTGATGGTTTTTTTCCTCGAAATCAAAGGTAAACCCACTGTCTTGGGGAGGAACGCAAAACAACCTTCTGGTGGACAAGGCAGGGCGTTTTGCTCTAAAACACACACACAAGTCTTGGCCCTGCAAATGACGCCATCGCCCATAACAGGGTGTCGCGTGAACAAGCCGAACACCCGCGGCATTTCTGCAAAATGGCAGCCCTTAGAGTTCCTGAGGCAAAACCGCTGCGCGTTGGGTGCGCCAGCTCTGCAGCTCGAATGCGGTGGAGAACTCTGGAAATGAGCCAAGTCAAACCACCGATGGAGAGGTTAAACAAAGCGTTCCATGCGCAGAAGTTGCCTGGAGTGTTGCAAAGCTATGCGTTGCGCCATAGCGAAGCTTTATGGCAATGCTGAGAATGGCAACAGCAAGCTCAACCGCTCGCATCCCACAGTCTTTGCAGCACGCAAGGAACAGAGTGATCCACTTGCCTGGCCCTGCAAGCGATAGTCTCGCGATACGTCACTTTTGCAATTCAATGGGTCGAAGTCATGACTTCGCTGGAAGGAAACAAAGGCGGTAAGAAGGTATTGCAGGCAATACAAGAAGTTCCCCATATTCTCCCCTTGACCAGGAGAATTAAACTGCGAAGTGCTGCTTGGACGCTCAAGCCCCTTCAGAAAACCCAGACATGTCCAGCTCAATGGTAACACTTGAGGCACAAACAGTGGCATATGCGTTTGCTCGGCACTGGGCACTTGACCTTTTCTGTCAGCTTTCCGATGTTCCAGTGCCACGCGACAAAGCCGTGCTGCAACATTAAGTTCAACGTAAACGATCTTACTTCTTACACTATTCCAGTAACCACAAGACTTGCTATATCCGTGTGCGGCATTCTGGAGCAATCCCCGAGTCCACTTCACTTCACATTTCTCCGTGCTTGAAGTTGACAAACGTAAGTAGGGAAACCAAACAAAAAGGGCGAACGACTTGAAGCTGCAAGCGACAAGGAGGGTGTGATACTTCGTGGCAAGGCATCCCTGAAGTGCAGCGTCACAGTTCTTGAAGCTGTTCATGAGCTGTATCAGGCATGCCTGCAAGCCCTCACTCTTTCCCTCTCTTGCTCTCTCGCTTCTCCCCCTGTTACCTCATCTCTCTCTCGCTCGCTCTCTCGCTCTTTCGATTCTATAGGGATAGGCGAGTCTTCCCCGCGTGTCCCATGGCCCATTGGCCCAATAGGCGAAGCTGCTTTGAATTCGCACACACACACACACAAAACAAAACAAAAACTCTCTCTCTCTCTCTCCCTCCCTCCCTCCCTCCCTCCCTCCCTCCCTCCATCCCCTTCCCCCCCCGCTGCCTGCAACGCCAGCTTGCCTCGGGCATGCAACAACTGCTCGCAGGCTGGCTCGTTTGTTAAGGTGGGCATCACAATGGAAGATGCCATTTGAATCCACTTTCAAGTACACGGGAACATTCCCATGAGCTCATTTCTGAATCAAACGAAACTGCCCAAGGTCATATCTGGACATTTGAGCGTCACCCGTCTTGCCTAAGGAAACAAGCCCATTTCCAGCACTCATGCAGCTTGAGCCCTCGTTTGGATGCTGCCCCAAGAACGCCCCAAACTGTCAGTAGGGATCCCAAAGCGTCACCCATGTGTCAAGATCGCAGCTCCTCCAACAAATGGGTGAGGGCCACATTATTCTAGGGGTACCTTCGCCATTCTTTCCAGGCATCCTTCTTTCTAAAAGACCACCCAAAACCCTGGGGAAACAGCAGGTTTGAAAAGAACGATGGCTGAAAAGAATGGGAATCAACCCCTAGAATTATCATACACATAACCTCCTTTCAAAAGCCTGATCCAAAGCTGGAGAATACCACACCCAGCAGAACGCCAAAGCGCCTCCTGCGTGGGCTGCGGCTGCCACTCCGCCTGCGTCGCAAGGCAGACCGAGGAAGAGCCCGCGGCTCTAAAAAGCCCACCCCCAAAGGTTAGAACCTTCTTGGACTTCGAGGGGTTCTGAGAACCTTTCTGGGGGTAGGACCGGACTCATAGTGTCGATGTTGCTCTCAGAATCAAGACTGTGTTCATAGCCAACTCTTGATACGATGCTTGCCTGATGTGGCACCAATTATATTGGGTGTCGGCCACTAAAAAAGACACGGACTCCTTTTGAAGAGATATCCACACAAGGGGTACATCACGCTCTGGCTCCGCATCAAATCATCTGAATTAATCCAACCATGAGAACTACCATGTTAACTCAACATGTTAAGACATATTGGTTCCTGCGCATGGCATGCATAAGTAAGCACACAGCCATGCGTGCTGCAATACAGAGAGATGCTCCTGAACAAGGCATCCTGACTTTCAGCGCTTTCAGGAAAGGGGCCCAAGGTGTTACTGCAGCGGTATTTTCTTGGCTTCAAGGCGGAGCCCCTGGTCCCAAGCAAGTTGCTGTTTCGAGACTTCGGATGTGATTTGTAGATTCGTCATCTTGTTTCAGCTGGGGGAGTTTCTGGTAAAATCAGTCTCTGATAGATACGGTGTGTGGTGTTCGAACATCTTGCTACAGGAAGTGTTGACGCATGTGATTTGTGCGGCGCAACCTGGCCTGTCGCTGACATCCGCCTGGCGCCTGGCAGAACCAGTAACTCAGAGGGCTGTCGACTGGCTGGGTCCTCTCCAAATCTGTGGAACAGGACATGAGAGGCTGAGGCGTCAAAGGGCCAGTCCACCTGACTCCAAGGCTGGCCTTGGGACCCGAGCCTGATGAGCCTGAAAGTGGAGAGGGTTCGCCACAGGGAACCACACATTACTGAAGAGACTACCTCTGCCATACCTCTGCCTCTGCCGCTGATGGCTTGTTGGAGGATCACTCAGCCAGACATGCGAGCTGGGAAGAATCCCTGTATAGGAAACAACATCTTGGGTGCGACTCTGGGAGCCTTGGGCACCTGATACCTCCTCGCTTCAATTCATGGCTCGGATTAGCCCGTGCGCCTGGTGCGGCTACGGCTTCCGTCCCCCGGCATGGCCCTGCACAGAACCAAGGGACCGGCAGAAGATCCCCCAAAGCCGGCACCCCAATCCCAACGGGCGGACAAAAACATCTGCCTACTTCGGCATAGCCCCGGATAGGGCACCCGGAATCACCTTGCACCAGGTCAGTTTACCACTCCAAGCACACAATACCAAAAACAAAGTAGCATCAAGAACGCACTGTTTTCTCAAAAAGCCTAACAAAGCAGCAATAGTTTGTCTTTTGCTGGAAGGGCATAAAACTACGATTTCGGACGAGGTCCAACTATGCAAAAAAAAACACATCTTACAATAATCATTGCAAAGTGCTTGGCTCCATCATGTACAATCAGCAGCAGCATGCGTATTGCCCGAAACCCCGGTAAACGTGGCCTGAAACACCTGCAACAAATCACCGCTTTCAAATATTGGTTGAAGCTGCCCACAGTTTCTTGCCAACCACCCTGCACCCTGCACTGGAGTCAAATCAACTGATGGAAAAATATCGTGTTTTTATGCTGATTATGTTTGTTTGTTGGCGCGTTTCTGGAACCGCGCTTGATGTTTGATGGCCTTTCATATGATGACTATTCTCCCTGCAAAGCATTGAGCCAGAGCAACACCTGTGCTTGCTTGATTACCCCATCGCCACCACTCCACCCAAACAGGCTGCCAGCGGTTGTTTGTGCCCCCGGAGAGAAGAAAAACGCGGGGACAAGTATTGACCCACACTCATCTTTGAGAATCGGCAGTAAATTCATTGCTGACGCACACAGGCTGCACCGTCTCACTTCATGGGATCGATTGCAATGGATTGCCGCAACCGGCAAAATGAAGTGCCCACGACCCATCAAAGAGGCTAGTCACCCTTCCCAAATGAACTGATCGGGCGGCTTCTTCTCGCATCATGCGGGGCATGTTCGCTTTCTTTTTCCCCGCTGGCTCTGTGTGCAGGGCCATGTTCATCGCGTCCTGGACTTGACATCCAGCGCGATGCATGGGCTGAGCGACCCAGCCACAGTGAAGCTGCAAGCATCCATGGCCGTGTCTCAGTGTGTTTTGTCCCAAAATCTCAGCGTATCACGTAAGTGCTGCTTACCAGAAACACAACACATGTTGTGGCTCATGTCGGTAGGGGGTAGCATTGCAGGCTGACCGCTGACCTCGCAAGTGCTCGCTTGAGATGGGGCAAATCATGAAAAGCAGGGTCATGGATGGTGCCAAAAGAGCCGAGGTCGCTGAATAGTTGTTTAAAATGAGCGCGCGGCGGTACTGGCATTGGGCGTTTTAAAATTTGAGACCCTCAGTATGTTTTTTCTTTTACTAGGAGGGTCTGCAACTCTGTGACACACCCATGTCATATGCCGAAGGGTTTCAGGCCCCTCCCATCGGGCTGCGATCACCGTGCGGGATGGCGCGGCGGATCGCCGCTCGAGTCTGGCGGATGGCGCTGCACATCCGGATGAGTTTGCCGTACATGTAACTGAAGCAAAGTCGAGCTTCCGGAAACAGGATGTTGACGTCATCCGTCTTCACGCGGCTGGCGCTTGGAACGAACTCGGGGGGCAGTTCCACCGGAGCCATGTTGTGCCAAGCCTGATGCGTTCAGTGTAAGGGCCGAACCTCTGCCGAGAGAACTTTCCTACAGAAAGGCTTTACTGAAGCTTTACTGCTTGACACTCTCAACCACTCAACCAGCTAAGGTGCAATTGTCTTCCCACAGCCTGCGCCACCTGAGCTCTGGCAACCCATGAGCTTGCGCTTGGCTGCCTGAGTGATGTGCAAGCGCTCACCATCAAAGCGAAAGCTGAATTGGCTCAAACTCTCGAAGCGGGTGTCAAGAATCTTCCCCACCCGGTTACCACAGGTAGTATCTCCGTCACAGCCCTCCTCCTTGGCCCAGATCGCGCTGCAGTGGGGGCACTTCCGGAGATCTGTGTTGATGTCGCGTTGGAAGCCGAAAGCCAGCATGCGGACTTCAAGAAGCACTCCCTTCAGCTGGTTGGTCAAGGTGGCAATGTGTCCTGCCTCATTAGCTATCACCTGAGCGTCATCGCTGGTGAAAGTGAAGTCACACGCCTCAGCCACTCTCCTGCAGGGTTCAGCCCCTCCACAAAACATGTTGACTCTTTGGCATCTGTAGTTGCTCTGGCAAGGGTCAAAGCTTAGGAAAGGTCCAAGATTCTTCAGCTGGCAGCCTACTGAGCCCCCAACTCGAAGGTTGTGCTCGTTTTTGCTCCGATCATTGGGAAACCCAGGGTTTTTGGGCTTCCCCGTTGTTGTATTGAATATGTTTCCACTGAAGTCCCTCATAATCCAGTCCTCTGTGCAGCAAAAACCTGCTCCAACATCCATGCCTGGAACTCGAAGACAACATCCACTCGCTCCTCAGTTGTCCACCATGATTCAGAGAATTGGTTCATGAAGTCCTGCTTGATGGTCTGGAAACGGGTGATCTCTTTCCGACAAGTCCTGAGTCTCCACACCGCGAAAATTGAAGCTTGCGCTTCATCCCCCCTGCACCCTCCCGGCAGCAAACTCAGCTCCAAAAAAGGCCCGCAAAAGTCCAAGACACAATCGCAAAAGACTGAATCTGGAGAAGTGAGGGTCTTCAATATTTTGAAGGTTCCTTCATGGACCTTGAAGTAATTCAGGAACGTGTCGGATGTGATGCAGAGATCTTGAGGCTCCCTGCAGCGCGCCAGAACCGACTTTTTTAGTCGACATCCGCTGGTCACCCTGCTCGCAAAAATAGGCGTCTCAAGCCCCAGCTTCTGTGTAACAAGCTCCTTGACAAGGTTTCCATACTTGACTCCTTTCCGGAAAACCAAGGCGCCCCCATTGAAAGGAGTCTTCTGCAGCCGAATCCCCATTATTATTAGTGCTTTCTCCTAGGGGGACCTCATACTTTGCGATGTTCAGCGAAAACACACAAACAAACAAACAAACACACCAAGAGCGATGAGAAAATACCCGGAAGAAAACAAAACAAAGTATTCGGAGCTGGAAACCACTCCTTGAATCTCTCCTGTGTCCAGGACACAGTGTCCATGTGGGTGATGCAAAGCGCCAAGAGCTCCTCGAAATCCTGAAATCTCTCCTCAGCACGTTACTTCCCAGGTTCCCCGATAAAAATCCGAGCGGGGCTTCGAACAAGTAATGGGTTGTGAGGGGTTTTCGCAGAAACTAAGCCTATCGTTCCTGGATACTAGTACTTGTAGTTGTAATGGTCTTCCAGAGGTTTTCACAGATATCTGGCTGGGCTTTCCAAGGCGGTCTCATCAGGGGCCAGCTACCATTCTCCCAGAAAACCAGACCACAAAGGCAACCGAACCCCGTTGGGAGAATGGTTTCATGCGTGATTAACTCACCCCCTGGGCGAACACCAAAATTGCTCCATTCAAAAAATGAAAATGTATCGCCCGGAAAAGGAAAACAAGGTCAACAAATCGGCCACTTGAACATCTCAGTCTCCACGTAGTCTGTGACAACATTCATGGTAGCGTCCATGCGCACTTCCGCCTTGACAACCAGCAAGATCAGGTTCACTGGGCAGAAGTTCAAGGCGTGGGCTATCCACACGTTGTGCTCCACCCTCCCAGACATGGAATTGGCACCGGGGGTGTCAATGAGCTGCAAATCACTGCCTTGTTGGCATCCAAAAGCAGTTTCCGTGCGCAAGCATTTGTGTGTAGGGGCAATCTTTCTGGTTCTATCCAAACATATTATACATTTCCTGACTGCCTTGGTGCCGTCTAGGACAAGCTCAGTTTTGTAGGTGATGTGGAAAAGCAGCCATGACATCCTACGAACTACTTCGCTCCACCCACCGCAAACACGCGCAAACACCAGCGAACATGGGAAACTCTGTCCAACAAATAGATTTAGGCTGGTGAATTCAAGTCGTCTTCTCCACTTAGAAAGAAAATTCTATTTAGGGTTGTCGTCCCAGACTACCCTGTATGACCACCCAGGCTTTGAACAGATCTCAGTTGACGACGAGTAGGAAGTGCTGGATGCTGTCAGGCTGCCTTTGGTGATGAAGGCATGGGCCGAGCGCGTGAAGCTCTCATCTGCATCGGAGCTGATGCCGGTCACACCCGTGATTTTCTCGACAACAGTTGACTTGCCCATGCCAACGTCACCCAGAAGGACGACAGTTGGCATGGTCTGCGTCGCTGATGTCATGAGATTCCGCGGGTGTCGATTGAGCTTCCGTGGGCCAAGCCAACTGCGGCGGTAAGAAACGACTGATGCCAAGTCAAGAACATCCCATTATGTTCAGGTAGGGGGTATGGAGCTACAATAAGCGCAGTATATGCAGTATGTGCTGGTGGCACGAGGCATATGCTCAAAACCTCAATCACCCTGAGCCGGCACCCCTAGCTGCAACTGGAGATCACCTCGCACAGGCACTCTGCATCAGCGCCCTGTAGCACCGTGTACCAGCACCTCCGCCCTCCCTACCAGCTGCGCCCAGAAATATCTACCAGCACCCACATGCATTCCCTCAGCACACTGCTTTTCAAAATCGGCGATCACCTCCGGCTCTTTATGAGATGGAGAACCAGTTGCACATATAGCCTTCTTCTATCTGAAATGAATGCTCTACCACGTGAGAAAACCAATTCAAGAAAGTCATAATCAAAACCAATTTAAAAAAGTCATAAAGCAAACTCATTGATTCCAGGCTGTGGCTCAACTTCGGACCCAGAAGGATAATGTCATCCCATGCTGTCTAAGTGCCAAAGTCTAATATTATAAACAGGCGCGGTTGCAGGATCAGCCGATGGTTTAGGTGGAGACGGCCAACCGGAACTAGCAGCGCCACATCTTTCTGGCGCTTGCTCCTCGTTGAGCAAACCTAACAAAGGAGCACTACGTCTCGTCTCTTGCTCTAAAACCAGGGACTGCCAGAGGCATGGCAAGGCTGTGGCGATTTGTGGCTTTCAGTGGCTGAACAGTTTGCCTCCATGGGCTCAGCCCCGGCTGCACATTCTCAGACCTCAGCACAGAACGTCCCCTGATTCAGGGCACTGAATGGACTGGCTCAAAACCCACAGCAACATGCACAGCAATCAACATGCTCTGGGCCACTTGATCAATTGAATGGTGGTTCATCTGCGATCCCATCATCCAGTCTTGAGGACAATGCAGCAAATGCTACAAAAAAGAAACGGCCCTGATGTTGCCATCCGCTGGTTCTTGACGCGATGGGAGCCGCTTGGGCTATGTGTGGCCGGGAGCTACCATGCCAACGTCAATGATCTTGCCTTGCTTACGGCAAGCGCCTGATGGACCATGATTCGATACACACTACAAGCCGAGGTGCACAAGAAACAAAAGCCACTGCGGGCAGGGCATCGACACATGGAGACAAACCATGCCAAAGACACTGGGCAAGCGCAAGCAGAGATGGCACAAGTCAGGTATGAAGCGCAGGGCATACCGTGCAAAGCTGGGGGTCGAGCAAAGCTTGTGACGCAGTGTTGCAAGAGCCGAAAGGACGGCGCGCACAAGCCCAAGACAAGTTGCAAGCCAACATACCATGTTCCCAGTGATATCTTGCTGGACAGGGGCGCGAGATTGAAATTCCAAGTTCCCGCCTTTGCCAGCCCGGTTTGGACCTTTCTTTCAAGAGGGGGTCGTAATCAACTTATCCACGGGCACTTCCCCTTTTAAGCCTTTGCATCAAAGTATCTTCGATTCTCTATGAGGGTTGGAAACAATCCCAACCTCCGGCAATCACCTGTTTTCTGCACGGAGCAGGTGACCGCCACCATCTGGAGCAGCTTCGCGCCAATTGGCGCCGGCGGTTCCAGGGACCCGGGACCTCCGGCTGCGGGGTATCGGAGAGAGCAGTCCTGGGATGTTTGACCTCGAAGCCGCTAGCGCTCTGGTGGGATGACCCCAAGGGCCACCAGCTGCTCCGCGCTCATTTGGTTCATCCGCGGGCCCCCGAAGAAATCGTCGGCCGGCGCCGCCTGCGGCGCCGCCCGGGGCGCCGGCGCGCTCTCGGGATAGCCCGCCCCGACCAAGTTGGAGCCGGAACCCATGGCTGCGGCTGCTGCCGTTGACACACCTCCCATTGGCATGCCCATGGGAGCTGCAGATGCGAAGGGCAGGGGGTCCGGCGCAGCAGCCACCGGAGGCTTGTTGGATGGCTCAGGCGCAACAGACTTGAAGGACCACTCCTCTGCATGCATCAAACCAGCCCGGGACACTCTCTGCCTCAAAGCATGAACTGTGTGCAGCAGACATAGAACCTAACAAGAAGCAACCCATCCTGGGCCCTCCATACATGCTCCGAGGTTCTACCATGTTCGACCAGACCACATATCAACGGTCACGAACAAGCCCACCAGAGGCCACCTTTTACTCTCAATGCCGACATAGCGGTCCTCCTCTGGCCTCGTCTCCACCTGCCACGCGTAGTTCCCGAAGGCTCCGCTTTGGGCGCTGTGCCGCTGGTGCCAGCCCGCAGGCAGCTCGGCCCCGCCCTTCTCGTCGCAGCTGAGCGCGGGCAGAGATGCCCAGGGTGTCCAAGGGATCTTCGACTTGCTGGTGCTCATTAGGGAATGTGGGAATGAACACAGAGGCCCCTTGAAGGACGTGTCATTCCCCCCTTCCCTGCTTCAAGGAGGGAGCCGACGCTGGGCCGAAGCGTTGCAATTGCATTTCGAGGCAGCAACTTTTGAGGTCTGTACTCCACAATGAAATAATTGTCCTGCCAGAAGGTGGGCCTTCTCGCGGGAGTTGTCAATCTGAGGCGCACATGATGCAAGGTCCGAACTTGCCTGGACTGGCATGAAGAGCTGGAAGATCTTACATGCGGTTCCCTAGAATCCAGCCGTATGTATCTAGCACTGGCCACGAGTGTTGTGTATTGACATCGGCATGTCTGTTTGAGGGTACCCTTTTTGGGATTCAACGACAAACGAAAAGAAAACCAAATGAAGTCAAAGGAGAATCCAGGCTCTTCTTGGGGGATCATCTATTTTGAGACAAACCCATGTCTCTGCTGGCGGCGGTCACATTCTAAAACGGCTCATGAGCACCTGGACCAGCCTTTTTTGACGGTCCAACTAATCACGTCGGCATCCCACCGTCCCTTCCCCCCAAACCTCTCCCTCAGGTTGCCTCGGCTTCGCATCGGCGGGTCGGACGACGGCGGGTTGGGACCGCGCAGCGCGGAGCAATTCCAGCACCGTGCGCGACAGGGCGCCGCCCTCGAGGGAGACCAAGTGCCCCGGCAGATGCAGCAGGTGGGTGGCCCAACCTGTCGTGCGTGTCCGGTTCCAACTCCCATTGAAATTCTTTGCCAAAAGGCTTGAACCGCACCTCAATTTGAGTGCAGTTTCCTTCAAATAAACATTCATGCAACTACCTTACATGCACAAGTGCACCATGCACGACCAACAAATGTGCTTTTGATAGACAGTTGCCATTCTCCTTTTTTCCGCCTTCTGGTTCTACCCCTCCATTGCTCGACCCATGGTGAAAAGGACAATGCCGGTGAACAAGGTGGCCACAAAAAGAACGAAAGGTTCGAGTTTCTGGTCGGGGGCGATTGACCCCAATAGAACCCTGGTAAATGGGAACGCAGACTAAAGCCTGCGGTTTAGTATTAACCCAGGTCTCCATGTATTGCCCCTTTCAAAAATGAGAAGGAGCTCCCCAATGGTGGGTTGCTCCAAGCTAGTAGTTGACCAAGACCCATTTTTTTACCCACACGAGACATCGATCGAGAAATATATCAGCATCTGGGATTCTGATTGTATTCACCACCCGTGGCTAACCGGTGCCACTCACGCCTTGCAGCCCATCCATGATGTGAGTGCAGTACACCACCGCACATCCGTCCTCGCTCTCCTCTCTCAAGAACCTTAGCTTCGACTCTCCAAGAACCGCAGAACCCAACTGGTACTGGCATCGCAAAGAGCAATTGGACTGCGCGTGCTCGAATCATCACCGCTAAAGCACAGTTGCAAATGCTCAAAGACAACATAAGTCATAGTGACAATGGCTCTCCGGCTGGCACAATCTGGGGCTGATCAGACATCACTGGCTGCCGTTCCGAATAGATTGCGCACAGGCAACAATTGCCACGCGAATGCAGATTGACCTTCTTGAAAATTGTATCCTGGCCCTGGGTGTGCTGGAACAAAATATCAACATGTCACGTCAGCGTACTAAAAGAGATGTACCATTCTTTTGCTGAGACTTTGCCACTGAAACGGTGTTCTTGTTGGTTTAGACTTACCCTTCCTGGACACACCGCAGGATTCACTGCAACTGATAATTGTCCTCTTGAAGGGAGGCCCTGTCTGTCAGGTGCGATGTTTGTGAGGGATTGTAGTTGTGCCAAGACATGCAGGCAGCCTAGACAAGACATCAACATGTGAGCAAGAGTTGTCCTGAGCAGGTCCCCGATTTCACTTCGGAACAGCTTACGCTCATGCCCAAACTTTGGCATCAAAGAAAAGCCTCCAACATCAGGCGAGGAATGGCGTTTGAACGGTCCCCCTTTGTCTTTAATTGGGAATGTTCCGCCTACGGCCAATCATACCCAGGTGGCTGTGTATCCAACTCGAGCCCCTTTTGGTGACAGTGTCGAAAGGAACCAGCATCAGCCGAACCTTGCAGGGTCCAACTGGTTTTGACCCCTTCCGATTAACTTCGGCACGTAGTTCCCGTGCGCCGAGCCGCTGCAGTAGCGCACAGCGACTGGCCACATCCAGGTCAGCAGTCACTTCATCCAGCAAGAGCAAGCGAGCTGGCTTCAGCAGCTTCACCGCCAGCTGCACCCGGCCTGAGCTCTACCAGCAAAGGGAAAAAACGCCATGTGGCCCGGCTATGGTCATCACCAGTAAATTGCGGTACAACCCTGGGGTGCAACCTAGCGGTTGCAGCCCTCAGAAGACCTGATGAGTACCCAAAGAGGAACGAGCTGATCAAGGAGAAGTTCCTTGAACATAGTTTCATCCCTTTCCCCCGAAGACAACAAGTAATTAATTCCGGTTCGCAAATTGTACCTGTGCCGCTCTTGCAGAGCTCCGTTTTGCTCAATGGAACAAGTCTTCAAGTCTGCCGTTCTCCTGGAACAAAGGGTTGCCGTTCCCCAAGTTTTCAGCAGACCCCAAGCCACTCCGACGGCCGCAAAGATTTCAGCCAAGCATCGCAGCTCGCCATCAGAAAGCAGGCCCAAGCCTGATCCGAAGCTCAGATGCAGAGAAGGGATTGTGTTGAGCAACCTGTGGAGGCTACAAGCTACAGAAACAAAGAAAGCCGGACTGCCCAAAAGTTGGTTCAAGAGATGTTTCCCCAACACAAACTCTACGTTCAAGGCCTGCCCATGCTGGGGATTTCAAACTTCAGCAACCAAGCGTGTTGGCTAGAAGTTCATTCAAGATCCTTGCGCGTTCAGGCCACACCAACCGTCACAGCATTCAGCTTGGGTGGCGGTTTCAACCTGATTGAAAACACCCCTGTCAAGCTCACCATCCTGAGGGAAAGCAAAGCAAAGAAGAGGCATCAAAGAGTGAGTTTGGGATGTTTGAAGGGGATAAAGGGAGCCCGATCGGAGAAAGCTGAGAGAAGATCGCGGAGAGGACCGATAATCCAGAGAACTCCAAGACAGCACCAGAGAGCCTGAATTTGTCGAACTTGACGGACTTCGGAGAAAGGCGTACGGATCATGTTGACATTGGGAGGTTCGGTCCAAAGTTGTTGGTCCAAGATAGTCCAGTGCCCAAACATCCCTGGAAGACCCCTTTCCCCTTTTACGGGTGGTGGGGGCAATAACGACCCCCATCGGAAAAGGGAAGCTCCTTCCAAAACTCGTTGTTTCCAAAAAATGGTGCTTCAACCACCACCCCATGTCCAAACAAAGTGGACGTCGGTGTCCAAGCGACTTTTCTCCGGCTGGATCCTCAGCATCTGAATGAGACGCAGCAGGCGCTGCGCCAACACTGCGCGGTCAAAGTCCTTCGCCAGGTCTTCCAACGTGGACTCCGCCAGCTCCTCTCGGGTTCCACTGCCGGCCGCGACAAATGACCCAAGTTGCTGGCCTGGGACACATGCTATACCTTCAGTTTGCTGCACCCGGACATTAAATACGCTGGGATGAAAGAAGATGGCAGAATTGCCTATCTGTCGGCAAGTAAAAAGGGCACGGTCCCAAACCTTGCTCCAGTTACTGATCCACGTCTGTCCTTTCAACCTTCAGTGCCACAATGGCCACAATGTTCCTCATCCATATCATTCTTCAACACCTTTCCGGGTGCTTGCGCAAAGGCAGCTCAAAGGTAACGCAAGGTTCGAGCGCACTCCCTTCCCGATGACACCTGTAAACGTGGCAAATCACAGCTGAGTTGTGAAAAAATAGTTCAGACAATTTCAGCGTCTAGATCTTTCAAAATGATTGAAGTGAAACTGGTGAAGCTCAGAGGTATCAACCCTTTGCATTGTTGACATTGCCAACCTTCGATCCAGGAAGGCATCTTTTGGTGGATGCCAGCTGATCTGCTGGGGTCAGAAGCGGCCAAGCCGTGCATGTCACCCAGGAAAGGTTGAACCCCAGCTTCATGGACTGTTTGGTCCATGCCTGTGGCACTCTTCACTCGTCTTGGACTTGTTGCGCTTCTTCCCCAATCCTTTCGCTGAAATGATATCCGCGTGATTCCTCCCTGGCATTCAAGGAATCCCAAGCAGGTCCTTCACAGTTGCAGCGACTTAGCAGTTCCAGCAAGAGACAACAAAAGCTCTCATGATATGCTTCCATCAAGCCAACGTAGCCGATCGACTGCATCGCCTCGATGGCAAGACTAGCGCTGAGAGAAGGCTGCGACTCTGCATTGATAGGACTTGTTCAGTGGACTGGATCATAAAGTATCTGGCATCGCACTACAGGACTGTGCAGGTCCAACGAGATGTTCCATCATATTATGAGGATCTACAGCTCGCGTGCCACTCCTCCGGTCACCCATCCATGACGACTTTAGTCATCTTCATTGAAGGAGGACATCAGGGGATTTCATTCAAACTTTAATCTTAATCTGTCACCAGGCGCAAGAAAGCCGACCATTCCACGGTTTGTTTTTCCCAAGATGCTCCATCAACTCACCACGGTTCCCAAGTTCGAAACCAATCGGACCAAGCATCATCAGCCAGTTGGCAGCATAGGTTCCAGGACGACACTTCAAATGGATAAATGCTGCCAGACTGTGCTGAGCAAGTGTCATATCTCAATTGGTCAAATTTAGGTGAGAATGCTCATGACAAGTATAAGTAGGACACAGCCTCAACGGATCTCATGACACATGGACTGGACTAGCTGCACTGGTCCCAGTGCAGCTACTCTTTTTGCCTTGCCACAAACAACTCAGGAACCCATGGCCCTGATCCCGATCCAAGTTGGTCCCCATGCGATGGAAGGCAGACTGGAGCTTGCGTGGAATAGGAGCTCCTTTGGCAACCCAAGCTTCAAACCTTCAAATCTTCAGGAAGGCAAAGGTCTGAGTTTTCGAAGGCCATCCCAAGCCAGTTCCCGCTTTCCTTGAAGGTCAGCTGGGCGCGAAGCTGCTGGACCTGCGCGGCAGCTCTCTGAAGCGAGCTGGCAAAATGGCAGCGCGGATGCCCCAAACTCCTCATGAAAGTCTGCAGTTGCGAAATGCATCATGAGCTCATGTTACCCCCAGGCTCGCTGGCGCAAGCTGGCATGCGAGTCTCAGCGCCTGAAACTGGGTGAAGGGCGAACTCCAAATGAAGATATGAGCCACAGACATGTGTCCTTCCCTGAGAGGAGCTCCTCGTTTTTGTTGGAGGACAGGACTTTGGGTTGGGCCACCATGTCCTCCCCAATCCTGTTGTCAGTTGTTCATTGCAGAGGCCGTCCTTCAAAGGGGCAAAGGAAAGGAAGCTACTAAAGGTAGCCACAGGAAGCAACACGCAAAAGAGAGGTAAAATGCAAGCGAGAGAAGGGTAAAGCAGCCAAAGAAAGTCAAAGGAATTCAAGGGAAGCTATACTGGTTAGGGAAGTGAAGCACGAAAAAGCAAACAGATAGATAAAGAAAGCTGAAAGAAGCAGATCAGCAGTGTCGCCCCTTTCGCCCCCTTTTCGCTGGCCCCAGCAAAGAGGATTCGATGACTGCTCCGTTTCGCTACCAGCCAGTCCCCGCAATCATAGAGGCTGCACTGAAACCAAAATATGTGTCCAACAGCATGGCATGCAACACTCAAGCCGCGATTGCTGGAACTCCACAATATGTATCCATATACATGTATATATAGATATAGATATATATATATAGATACGGATATCGATGTTGAGCTAGACCATATGTTTCTTGATGTATACACGGTGAAAGATGTGTTTACATGAAAGATCCACTCGGTACCTAGGGATCTCCGCTTCGCCTTCCCCGGGGCCCGGGGCCCGGCCTGGCGCTTCCACTCGGAGCTCAGCACCGAGATCTCCTTTTCCAGGCCTCGGTCCTCCGGTCATTGCGAGAGATGCAGTCGAGCTGGAACGACCCCAAGCAAAAAAAAGCCCTCCAACTGGTGGTGTTTCCTTGGTGGTCAGGGAATGACCCCCTACAAACTCATTCCAATTGGCTTCCTTGGGGATGGGCTCAGGGCTCAGGGCTTCCATTTCTCGCCCGAGAACGCACCGATCGCAATTGGCATCACCGGCCTTGAGGCCTCAAGGGCCAAAAACCCAACCCCCCCCCCGGGGACGACGACCGGACCGGGCCTTCAAAATGGGGCAGTCTACTTAGCTCTCCAACTACCCGGATCTTTTTGGGGGGGGGATGCGAGAAAGGGAGTTCGGCCATCCAGAAGCAAGGTTTCCGGTCCCTTGCCCCCACTTCCACTTCACAGGGGCAGGGAATGTCAGGCAAGGGCCGTCAAGCCTGCTTACAACCCACTTGCCATGGCTTGCAGACTTCCTTGAGTTACCATGAGTCACTTGACATACCCCTTCCCCTTTCCCCGTATCCCCCTATCCCTCGCCTCAAAGGGCCTGCGCCCCAGCACCCGGAACTCGTCTTCGGAGCGGCAGAGGCGCCTGCCTGCGAGCAGCGCCAGCAGCGTGGATTTGCCGCAGCCGTTGAGACCCACCAGCAGGCACCGGGCCCCCGGCGCAAGCGTCAGCTGCTCCACCTCGCGCGCGCGCATGGCGCGGTCAATCCGGAGGCAAACGCATCTGGCGACCTATATGGAATCACAGGACAAGATTATGTGGGGGAAAAACTCCGTGGGCCCCCTCCGCAGCTGTTGTTGCTTGTTCGAAGGGCGCGCTAAAGTGAGGGGGGTTGGGTCTCAAGACCACACTGCTCTTGCGTCTGTGATTTCGGACCTAAAAGATGATTCTACCAGTCAGTGAATTGGCTAACAAGATGGATGGCATCTAGTCTGCCGGTGCCTATGCTACCACAGGCAAGGAGACTCTGATATGGCCTGGGTGACATTCACAATTGATCGGCCGGGTACAAGCAAGGGCAGTGTGAGGGATATCCGCTCTTGCACCTCAGTATGTTCGTTTGATACAGCTATGACTTGGGTGACTGTTCGGAGAGACTGATCGGATGTAGCGTGCAAGGTATTCGTTGATGCTGGCCCCGGTTTTAGTGCACTATTCTTGGTCAGAAGCTGCTCTGATAGCGTTAACGGGAAAGAATGGCCTAATGGTGATTGCCTAATTAGGCTGAAACCCAGGCTCCCCTTTGAGTCCACCTTGGCAATCAAAAATGAGCCCGGATCCCATATAGGAGCAGCACCCACATCCTCTTGACTTTGGGATCTACTCAATGTCCCTGCAAACCAAACGGGAGCATCAGCTACCAGAAGGCCAGGGCTTTTGGGTGCGACTCAGCCCAGGCACCGACAGGACGCTGCCAGCGCCGTAGTCGAAGCTCAGCCGCTGCGCCACCACTGCCATGCCCTCCCCGCCACGTGGCAGCGGCGGCCCCCGCGGCGGCAGCTTCACCTGTCTGGCCATGGGTCAAAATCCAAATCGCACCCCCAGTGAACATCCGATTCAATCCCCGCAAAAATAGGTTCAACAATGGGTGGTGAATTCACCTACCCCAAAATGGTACCATTGGTTTTGACCCACATCCATCTCCACAAAGGGGCGGCTGAGAATCCAACTTTGTCTGGGAGAGAAAATATATTGGGCCCCTATTGAAGAAGACCTATTCCCATTTGCTCGTTCGCTCGACATTCAAGTCCATCCACAAAGCGGATCTCCCAAGCCAGGAAAACTCCAAACCAGCCCCCCCCCGGCCCCGGTTGAGTCAACCCCCTGTTCAAACATGTTTCAACAGCTATTGTTACAACCTTTGCCGGACCCCACCCTCCCCACTTCACCTCACTGGTGACGAGCTGGAAGACGTCCATGTCCGGGCCCAGCGGCTGCAATGACGCACGCCCCTCCTGCAGCTGCAGCAGGTGGGTAGCCCAGCCTAGGGCACGCTGACAGACGGTTTTCACGCAAGCGGGATGCGGGATGCACTGCACAGGGTGGTCACTGGCGCCTTCTTCCTACTCCCGCCCTTTGTCTGGATGGTTCTCAGGGGAAACCAAAAGGAAGCCCCACACAGAGGGTCCATAAACCTTAAGAAAAGTGCCATTGCCGTTACAGCACCCTTTCTGAGACGAGTTTGGCATACAAAAAGGAACCTTGCGCGGTGAGGTAAACCAACCGTGATGGTGGGGTGCAAGAACCAGGCTGGGCATGTCAGAAAGACCCAATGTGTACGCAGTATGCAGCTGCACGAAGAAAGTATGCATATTTGTCTGTCTATCAAACGTTGTACTATACGGAGTATACGTGATTGATTGCCAGTAAGCTGTCTCCCTCCCCTTTGCTATGAGGTATGAGCAGGCCGTAAAACGAATTACGGTATGAAAAAAATGGCTCCCTGCACGCAAGCCAAGGGGAGCCCATGTGTTAGACCCGAACAGCAGGGTATAGCTCTGCGACACACGTTCCACCAAGCCGCCGGCACAACCCTCAAATACATGTGTGACGTTGATGACGGTGCATCCATCCGCCGCGAGAAAGTCCAAAAGGTCCTTAGGGTAGGTGGCTCGGGCAGCTGTTTGCAAAGCCATGATCGAACCTGCCCACTCCATGCAGATTTGTCTCAAAACGGGACCCCCAAAGAACAACATCCCAGAGAACAAAAGTCACCATTGATTTGCCTTTGAAAACCGCTAAAAAAAGACAAACACACCTACCCCCCGGAGCCATCCCGCTCCTGGCGCACCAGCATATCCAGCTCTGCTGTAGCCTCGTCCAGCAGCACCACCGCCTTCTGGGTGCAAGTCAACGTGTTGCAACCGTGGAACTAAACTGCCTCTTGTTTTTCTTCACCTCCTTTCGACTAAACTTATTAATCCTATTAAGACAGCCATTGTAGAAACAACCATCCAATTTTTGAACTTCTGAAACAAGTGCCTCCTTCTTGGTTCCCCTTCAAAGAAATGGCCGAAACGGGTCTGACCGGTCAAACCAACTTTGCCACCCACCCCCGGCCTTCCGCTCGTGTCCGAGCCGCCTGAAGAGCTCCGCACGCCGACGTTGGCCCTCCGACAAAACGCCCACGAACTGCGGCAGCAGAGGGCCCAGCTGCAGCACCTGCCACGGAAACCGAGGGAAGCCGGCCGACACCGGGCGATGGACTTCTAGATGAACCACTTCATTGGTCTCTCTGAAGACCCCGGTTTGGAAAATCCATGTCAACGTGGGGCCCACATGCGCCGTGGCGTACTTTTGCTCTCGGCAATGCTTTTTGCTAGGGGTAGATGGCCTCAAAGAGCTTGGCAGCCCGGCTGTCCTCCGGAGCACACTCCAAGCCCAGCAGCTCTCCCACCTGGAGAACATGAACTCGGAGAGGTGGCTTCAACGCGCGCCCGTGCGCAGAGGTGCGTCGCAACCACAACCCGGAGTCGACAGAATGTACCCTAAAAATCCCCGAACCATGAAAGGAAGTTCAAGTGACAAACAAACGTGGATGGCAGAGAGAGAGAGATCCTCCTTGGCCGGGCGGCTTCCACCATACCTTGGGACCCAACTGTTTGTTGGGTAACCACCTTCCATGGAAAGGGTTCTAACCAACCTCATTTGGATCATAAAAAGGAGGGCACCCCATGTTTAGCGGCCACTCATTTTTGGAAGCACCTATCTGGATCTGTCTCAATATTGGGTGACCCATTTAGATTGCTTTTGAAGGAAAGCCAAAGAGACACCAACCATCTTCAGCAGTTTCCTTGAGAAATGGGGGGTCTTTGCCCTAAGCCGCCATAAGGATCAATTGATTTTGAACAACCTGCGTCTTGTTGAGGATAACCTTAACAGGTCGGTTAAATGGGAAATCAAAAGGCCAAAAGGAAAGGCTACCATTGGGGTAACTACTTGTTTCTCCCAAATGAACCTTCTCGACTATTGAATACATTTCCCACACTCGTTTGGGGTTGTCTCAAACTGAGAGGATCCCCAAACTGGTTGGTTCAGTTTTGGTGTCCCTTTGAAACCAACCCAAACAAAGGATCCCAAAAAAAGAAACAAGCCCATGTGGCCGCTCAAATCCCATTGGCGTTCGGTGCTGTATAAAGGTTGATACAATGTTACAACTAGAATCCCAACAAACACCAGGTAGTGAGAAAAAGAAGGAGACTCGGCTCCTCCGCCTCCCTTTCTTGGCGCGAGCAACTGGACTCAGATGCGTAAAACAAAAAAGACGCCAGGCAGTCGAAGCTGTTCAAACGGCCGCTGGGGGATCCGTGGACGCCAGGACGCCAGGCGCGCGAGGAACCGCCGCGGCCTTCATCTGCGCCATGCGCTCCTCCAGGTCTCCTCCACGCCAGCCGCCGGCCACCAGCACCGCGTGGCTTCTGCCGCGGAACGGGTCCTGGCTTTCAGCCGAAAGGAACCCACAAACCGCCATAAAAATGTGGAAAAGGTCCCCAAAATCGGAGATTCCGGTCACTAACAAATTGGCGGCTGTTTGCTTTTTTCATTTTGAGGTTCTTGGAGGATTCAGAGAGAGGCACCTGCCCACCCTCCCCCCAACTTTTCCACTCGTCTCCTCCCCCGCGACCCGCAGCTGGCCGCTGGGCGCCATCTTCTGCCCCGCCACCAGCTGCAGCAGCGTGGACTTCCCCGCGCCGTTGTCGCCCACCGCCAAACACCGCGCCCCAGTTGGCAGCGCCAAGTCCAGGCCTGCGCGGGAGAAGGGGAGAAGCTCGGCCTCAGGTTACCTACGCCTGTGCTCATAAAGGGGAACCTGGTAAATGGCGGGGTTCCTTTTGGTCGCCCTTGAAAGATCAGCCCAAGGGAACTTTGAAAGAACCTCCAACGTGATGCTTTCAGCGGGAAAAAAAGATGAAAAGTCCGTGGCTTCGGGGAGGGGGCAGGGGGTCTTCACATGTTCTGCTTGAACAAATGCCGGTACGGCACAACGTCGTGGCACAAATCCAGCTGTTAAGCAAATGCCGGTGTACCAATTTGGAAAGGGACTGCTTGGCCTCCATCCGAGTCAAGAAATGAAAATCACTGGAACAACCTGTCACTGGGCAAATCTGCAAGCATTCAGGGCTTTGATTGCAGATCCCTTGACCGAAGCCAACCCATGTCCCATCTGGTATGTTTGGTCAGAAGAGCTATTACAGCCTGCTTGAGCATCCAAACTTGGGAAAGTACATTGCCAGCAACGATTCCGCGGTGTTGGATTTCTTGCATTTGTGCAATTCTAGCTACCGAAACACTTATCCATGACAATTCCAACATGTGCGAATCCATCTCAATTGGGCGATCTGAATCGCTTCTGATGTTGACGGAAAGAAAGGACATCGACAAGGACAACCATCTCTCCGTCTGCAGCCTGCTGTGTCTCTCTTGAAGTTTTGGAAAACAACTACGTTCTTTCCAAACTAGGAGTTGTCCAGTAAAGCACCTTCACGGGCTTTCCCTCAAAAACATCGAACTTCTTTTGGGGGGGGGACAGGTTTTCCGTCTCATTTGGACCTTCCCTCGGCGTTTTCCCTCGGGTAACTCCCACCATCCAGGATGGGCTTCGCCCCAGGCAGCGCCGTGAAGGTCAGCCGCGAGGCCGCCACCGCCATGTCGGCCATGGCCCGGGCCGTTCTTTGGGCGACGAGGCCCGCGGGGGGGAGGGCAGCCTCACAAAAAGACACGACATAGTAGGGCACCCTCCAGGACGGAGGAGTAGTCCAACCTGAAAAGATCCACCTGAAAGTTGTTCCGTCACCAATGGCCTTTCTAAAGTGGCGGTGGTTGAAGCGCCGAAAAAGGGGGAGATTGAGGAGGCATTTGGCCGTAGGATGCTCAGGAGGTTCACCGGGGAGTGGGGAGTCGGACAAAATATGTTTGGTAGCAAAAGGGAGACGTTGGATCGCGCCACTGTCCTAAGTGTGAGATGCTCTTGGCTTCGTTGGGGCTGGAAGCACATCAAAAGCATGGCAGGCTGTGCCAACTTCTGGTTCGTCAAGGTCAGGAGCCAAATGAATACCAGGCAGGGGCCGCCAATTCCATTCGCTGTCCTGAAGTGCAGTGTCATCGGACATGTCCAAGCCGAAGAGCAACACCAAGTGCTCAGAAGCTTCTCTAAGCAAATGCGGCTTAAGGGGATTCATCAAGGCGGGGGGGGGGGGCTATCAAAGTCCTGAATCGAACAAACATCCTTCCTCGTTTGCGAACATTGGTGCCAATGGGATTTACGCAGTGCCTAGCACCTTTGGACTTATGTTGGCCGCCCCGACTATGCGTGTTCCATAACAGCACTTTGTGAATATGATTGGACCCAAAGCGTCTGCTGTCCATCCAAGATCCCGAGGCATGCCGCTTTTTGCACTGCGCGTCTGGCGGGCAGCTCAGGAAGTACTCGGCTCCTGCAAAGCAGATGGCACCTCACACGTTTACTTCGGGCCCTCCACTCCACACAGAAGGGCCCCAAGCAAGCGGGCACATGACGCGGCTCCTGAGGCTGTGCTTTCATGTGATCGAAATAGGCCAGGGTCCTCGGACGAAGCAACTTGGATCGGAGCAGAATCGAGTGGCAGTTGCGATACAGGAAGGCGGCTATGCCATGCCACCGAATCGCACAGCACAGGCAAACTTGCAACATCCTTGCCTTTGCCTGGGCTGGTATTGGGACGTCAAACCCAGGCTCCCAGCTTGGCACGTCCGACTCCCTCCGCGGCACTGGCGGGCGCAGGGGCCGAGCCGAGACATGAGGCCACCGCGTTTCCCCACTAGAACATGGAGAAAGAGGGGGTTATCCCGCTAGTTATTGTGGGAGTTGGGGTGTCCGCCCCAAACAGCAGTGGACGATACCAATCTTGTTGTCGCTGCATTACATGACGACCAGGAGATCCAGAGGAATACACAAGCTGACTCCTGTGGCTTGGTCCCTATGAGTATGGAGCAAACATCTGGGGAGCATGCTGCAGCGCAAAAGTGGTGTGTGCCCTGGCCTGAAAAGCATGTTCAGCGCGGCCTGGGCAACTGGCCACTTGCTGTGTCCCAAGCTGCCAAGGCTAGTCAAAAAAAAACGCTCAGCCAGACAGGCTCTCCCACACAAGCCACCAGTTCTTTCCAAGCCGGCTTGCCTCACCCTGGTGGCTGCTCCTGTCCATCTCGTCGAGCTTCTCCTGTCAGATCTTGTCATTGGGCACACCCTCTCTTTGCCAAAAGCCCAACCGGATGTTTTTCTGTGAAGGGAAGTGGACCCGTTTCCCACACCCAACCTTGGGGAAGTGAATGCTTCTTCCTGATCTCAGTGGCAAGTAGCACAACCCTTCTGCCCAGGGTCCTTGATGCCAGAAGCCTGTCTCGCATCCTCTAGGTCTTCGTACATCTTGTCACCAAAGCGAGTAACCCACACATTCCTGTAGGCGGCGAGGAATAGGAGGCCACACTGGCACATAGCAAGGCAATGTGTCCAAGATTGCTCGATTGCTCTGTGGGTCGCAGGAGGGATGATGGGCTTTGGGTGGATCATTGCAAGAACTCCTTGCTTGGAGGAGAAACGGGAGGATCTGAAGTGGTTGCTCTTTTGGTGCCAACAAAACCTTCTAAGCAGCAGTTTTGCCATCCAAGAAGTCTTTCCGAGACTATGCCGCATCTTCCCACAGCAAGCGCCCACCATGTTCAGCCAGGCCACTTGTTCTTGGCGGTTTCTCGGTGCTTCTGCACGATCTCCGTAACAGTGTGGAACTGTCTCTCCTGCTCCGCCAGCTCCTGCCCAGGCCGTCAATTGGTATCGGAATCCGGTTGAAGACATCGGCTCCTGGTTTAATGAGGCTCCTGGGTTGCTGAGTTCATGTGGTGCCTTGTCATCCTCCTAAAGGCAACGGACAATCTATGCAAAGGTCAATGAGCAACAGTCTACAGCCTGCAGGGTCAACTCAAAACAATTGCATGGCGCACACGCAAACACATCTCACATGAATCAACCTTGCTTGTAGCAAACCCTATCGACAAGGAATTCTGGCAGCATCAAAGCTCTCAAGCAGCGAGTCTCAAGCGGGCACCGTTGGCCTGTGAGCCACGGTCCAAACTCCTGCGGGGTCATAATTCCCCTAGGAACTCGAACCATGATTGCCTAACTCCAGAAAGGGTCCGTGCCCAGCCTCCGAATTTAAACTTTTAAGACCGCAGGTGAGTCACCGCCCACTGCGCGATTTCGCGATTTCGGCCTCAGGCGACACCTCCAGCACCGGAGCCGGCTTCGCTTGTCCACAGTCCTGGCTGAACTCAAGGCGAGTCCATCAGTTTCAAGGCCGCTTCGGGCTCCCAGTTGTATTAGATGTAACACAACTAAGTTACATGAAGCATATTTTCGCAAAAGATCGATGAAAAGACAAATCAAACGATTTATCAAAAGATGAATCAAATTGCTTTACAGGTTTACATTCGGGAAAATCAGAAAACCGTTATCTGCTTAGCTCTTCAAACGAGTGTTGGGAACACCTCTGTCCCTTGCGGCCCAGTCAGAAAAAGTTGCCGCACATGTGTTCGGCCTGCTTGTGGTTCACCCAGTGCTTGCGCTGGCACTCCCGGGTGCAATACCTCAGTTTGGCAGCAGGAAAACCATCGACAAAATAAATGACACGACTCAAACGCTAATTCACAGTCAGACTCATGACATAGTCATTCAAATGTTTGGCGGTTCTCAAATGTCTGAAGCAGCACCGTGCCCATTCGTGAATTTCCGAAAATTAGTGACCCATCCAACTGATTGATTTACATTAGCTTTCCCTCGAAAACCATCCAAAAAGTGAGCTCCGTTCTTGAGACAGCCCCATCCTGTCATCCTGTCGATGTCAGAGCAACAATCGATGCCTGAGATGGGTCTCCTCCATGGGATTTGACTGGCTCTTGGGTTGAATCATCCACAACATGACAGTGTCAATAATTTGAGCACATCTACGTAGTCTTTGAAACCATCCCAACGTGGGTCTCCGGCGTTGTGACACCTGTCCAAATTCACTTCTGCAACAACGCCACTGCAAAAGCCAGCCTCATCCAACCTCTCCTGGAAGCCGATACGTCCAAAGAGCCCATGCCAACAAGCGCTCTCATGTGATCGGATGCCAAAAATTGTTCTCCAAGGGGGCATAAGCAAATTGGGTTGTGCCCTGGTTTTCGTGCCAATTTGTTGGTTTGTCCACGCGGACAAACCAAGTCCTCCTTAAGCCCACAGTAGACTGCCAATACTGTCAGTGGGGATGCTTTAAAGGTTTGGGATGTCAAAAGGCAGCCAAAAGTAGACCAAAAGGAGACCACAAGGAAACGCTCGACCGCTTCGCCGGGTGGCCAAAACACGCGGCAGCCACTGCACTGCTTGGTGGCAGGCGCCAAGCACATCACGCAGGGGGTGCCAGCCATTGTGAGTGAACTCTCGGGTATGCAGTGCTATGTCTCACATGGGCTCCGGGTGGCTCTGGCTCAGAGTGGGCCAAGAAATTACTCGAAATATGGTGTCGGTGGATGGTAATCTTGCTGGTAAGCTTCCTGATGCTTTTTTGTGGCTACGAGGTATTGCATTCTTTCCGGCTGCTTGGATTGCCGTTCCGTCTGCTTGAGTCTCCAGCCGCTGAAATCGGTGCAGCCTGCCAAGAACGGGTCAAGAATACCCCGCAGCCATCAAAGACTCGCTTCCAAAAGGATCGAGACTCAAGACCGCCTTTCCGGCGCGAAAAATCAGAGTCTTTCCCCCGGGCTTGTGCCCTCTTGGAGCGCATAGAGAAGCGCCCACCCCGAAACATCCGCACCTCGCCACTTCTCGGCAAAGGGCGGGTCTGGAAACCCCCGCTAGAGGCAGCCTCTAGCCCCCGGGCTGAAGGTCCGGGACTCTCTTGGAAATCAATCCAAAACTCACCGGCAAGTCCATGGCTTCAAGACTTCCCGGTCGCTGAGGAGCCGTCTCCTGGCAAAAGCGAGCAGAAGCTCTTCATTCGTGTTTGAGCCTCTGCACGTGCCCGCCACCATGTGTTGGAAAAGCAGTCTCCAATTGATATGAAAACGTGCACACCCGCAACACAATGGAACATGTGAGACGGCAAGCTCGGGACATCCGCTGACCACACAATGGCAGCTAATGGCATATCTGCCTATCAAGAAAGCGAGCATAGGTCAATGCCAAGACATTGTTTGGCTTTCCAGCTGATCCGGGACTCGGGCCTCGCCTCATCCATCTGTCTTTTGGCCTGCGCAATGCCGTGAAAATGACGTGCCTCAAATAGACGACCCCCACAACTTCTTCTCGTGGTCTAGCTTCTAAAGCCGGTCAAAAGAGAGTGTTAGAACCATTCATATCAGCGTCATCTCGGCCACTCGGACTCAAATACCACAGCCCAGCACATCGGCGCCGTGGTCCCAAGGGTCAACGGGCTGGATTGTGGAAATAGCTACTCTGCCACAAGTCTTCGAGTAGTGGTGTTCTGAAAAGTGCGGTGACACCTGGTTTTCTGTCATGCTTAGGCTTGTAGGATCATGCTGGTCTCCAGAATGCCTGCATCTTAAGTGACTGCATATGTCCATATGCAATCCAATCCAACACACTTGCCTGAGGTGGTGCATCATAGTCCAACTAGCAGCGCTGCTCAAAAGAAAAGGGGAAATGGGACACGCAGAAGCTCCAGTCTCGGTTCAGCTTTGACTTCCAAAGCCAACGCCAAACCTCACTGGGCTCCAGGCGCTTTGCCGGCACACACTCAGTGGGGTTCGCCTGCCGACCCTCACACTGTGCACAACTCGCACCAAACGTCGATCGGAGAAATTGGGCTTGGGTCACAGACCATGACGGCATCTCTTGCAAACTGCCCAAAAGCACCGTGGCAACGGAGATTTGTTCTTAAGGAGAAGCAGATTGCCACCCTCCGTGACTGGACTTGGCCAATGGCAACCATTTCCTCAGTGCCTTGCCTTCGTTGTCTCCGTGCTGAAGACCTGAGAATCAGTTTCGCCAAGCCGTCTGGAGCCGCTGCAAAAGCACTCCCACTGCCTTCGCAACACGTAATAGTCTGTTTAAGACTTGCTTGTCGAGCGGCCTATCCTTAAGCCTTCAGACCCCTCTACGCGCTTTGCCGTGTCAACTTGCTAATACAATGTGAAATGTCCATCATCCCTAGCCTCTGCGTCAACACAGAGCCAGCGTGTAATGCGTGCCATGGTGCGGGTCATGGTCGTGGAGCCTCCCTGAAAGAAGTCTCATAAAGGCTTTCACCATCAAAAGGTTGATGCTCGTCAGCTCCCCACAGGCAGGCCTGTTGGCTATTAAACAGCTGCCTTGCCCGAGGCTGCCACATTGTTCAGCTGCTGGGTGCATCGGATGAAGGTCGTGCGCTTGGGCAGTTCTCGCAGGGTGGAGGCACCCACGTACCTCGCGATGCCGCGGCTCAGGGACCGACTTGCAACTTGGCAAAGGCTTGAGAACAAGAGCAATAAAAGGGAGCCACACCCTGAAAGCTTCCCTTTGGCACCAAAGCCCCTGGGCACGTGCACGCGGACCGAACTCCGCCCTGCAGATCTCGGATGGTCTCATCGATCGGGCCGCGGTATGGCACCTGCAGTGTTCGAGGCAGGCGCTACATGTTGCTCCTTCTGCTGACAAGCTCCAGCGCTCAAAGCGGTTAAGGGATGCACAGGCAAGCAGCAAGCACATTCGACTGTTGTCGTCGAAAATTCTCTCACTCGGAGTAGATGTAAAGGCGCATGACGGATATACCCACTATCCGATCCTTGCAAAACTGTCCAGCCGTGCGCGGAACCGTCAGCCCGACTTCCTTTCGCCTTGACCGTCTTGCCCTCGGAGGATCTGTACTCGGCCACGCCGCCGGCATGCTTCTGGCGCTGACCCAATGGGAAGGAAGCTCAAGGGCTCAAGAGTGCACCTTGAGCTGAGTCATAATCAAAACCCGGTACAGAAATGGGCCAAGCCCAGAACCATGTAAAGAATTCCCAAGGCGGATATCCCCTTTTGTGGCTGCGATTGTCCCTTACTGCCCTCCCATTCCCCGAGTTTTGGGCGCCGAACTACACAAATTCACCAGCGCTTGTTTGGGTCTGAGCCCCAAAAGCCTTGACTTAAGCTTCCGAAGCCCGGCACCGGTATGAAACCCTATCAGATCCTCGTGGATTGCGTCAGCAGCTTTGTTGGAGATTCCGAATCGCACATGTCTGCCACCCAGGTGCCTTCATGGCGGTGTCACTGGACATGCCATAGAAGACCTGGCAGGCGATTTGATCAGAGGATCCACTTTCTAGCAATGAAACTGGCGAAACCTCTCTGCTGGACTGTCAGGGGCCCCGGAAGGCTTGTGAAGGTGCGCCAGCTTTGTTCGTTGGTGCATGGCCGTGGCACATGTCATGGATGTTTGGGGGGGGCAAGACCTGCACAATCTGCAACCGGCAACCCTGATAAACCAGCGGCGTGTCCAAGCCTTGAAGTAGTGGCCGTTCTCTTCCATGGTCTGCGACAAACCGCGAGCAACACATGTCACTTAAATCATTTGCTGAAGGCCCCAACTTGTCAACCTGCAAAGTGCTCGCCTTAACACACCCTGCCAAACGTGTCGAATGAGCTGAATCACCTGTGCCTCAATCCAAGCTGACTTGCCAAGTCGAGCTGGGGGATACAAGGTCAATCTGAGTCCATCCGTGTTTTTCCTCACTTTGAACATACAGTGCGTAGCATGCACCAAACTTGTAAAAGGGTCGAATCTGGATACGGCTCTGCTCGTCTTCGCAAGGTTGCTGCCCCCCAGTGCCTCGCCGGCACACTCTTCGTGGCCTGCCAGCATGCCACCTCACAGTCGGCTGAGTGTTGGGGTGTCGGGGTGCGTGGCAATGGAGCCAAGCTTCAAGCAGATTGGCGAAAGCATCCGTCTTTTCATCTGAAGGTCCATGGTATGCTTGTTCAGCGGCCAAATAAAATGCAAGCCAACAAGCAAGCTCAACGGAACCTTACTCTAGATACAGGAGCATATGTGTATATATATATATACATGTATGTGCGCACATTGCTCCACATATGCTCCTGTGTAAACATTACACATGATCCGTGTATATATATATATGTTTACAGAGAGAGAGAGAGACTTACGCATATATATATATATGTATGTATCTATTTACATTTAGATTCGCGTATCGTGCCATCAGGGGGGTGGGGTGGGCGCGGGCGGGGTGATAACCTTTGGCTTCACGATCGCACGCGCGCTTGCCATCTCGCCCGCCTATTGGGCCTCAAGCGCGCTTGTGCATACGCAGGGAGACGCGCAGGGCTCCGAAGGCTCTGGCTGAAGGCCAACTTGCCGCCTGACTTAGGCGCGCTGAGCCGATCCAATGCCTCAAAGATAAGTCAAGGGGGCTGTAACCGACGACCGGTCGAAAACAAGTGATTGTGGCTTCCTAGGGAACTCTTGACGAACTCTCACCTATGTATGATAGAAACATGTATGTATACATATATATATATATATGTATACACGCGCATACACGTGTCCATGTGGCTGTGTGTCAAAACTCCTGCAGCATGCAAATGCTTGGCTTCCGTTCTCTTGGTTTCCCTCAAGCCATCTCCAAAAGGCTCCCGTGTCGTTTGACCCATTTGGAAACCGCGGGCTTCAGAGGTCCGTGCCAAGCATCACGAAGTCTGCCCCAGCGCCGAAGGCCTTGCAGACATCTCCTGGGCAGGTGCACCTGAAGGCGGAGGGCGGAATGACTCGCGCTCTTGTATGGCAATTCGAAGACACAAGCGTGACATTGTGCGTGATCCAATAACTTACTGGATTGTTTGCATATGTATCAAAACTACATGTGTAGACACTATACATTAGGGTTGAATGAACCGTCCAAGAACAAAGAACCCAACTGTTCTTTCAGCACAGGGGTCGAGCAGCGCTCACAACTGCAGCCGTTCAACTCCAAGAGAAGAAGCGCACTATTATCTTCAGTGAAGGGCGATACGACAGTCCAACCAAAAGCATGTGAAGCCAAATCATTGTGTCGAAATCCAATCGCTTTGTCAACACTGGACACCCAACACCAGCAACTCAATCATTGGATTGGATCGCTCAAACCTAGCTTTATTGTTCCAATCCAATCAACTTGACACTGCACACAGCTGGCAGCCAGCTCACCTTAGCACATTCCTAAAATCTAGGTTGCCCAACATACGTGCCAGTCAAAACTCATCAAGTGGGCCACGCTCAGCCCAGTGGGCCACGCTCAGCCCTCAGCAGGACCCCTTCTCTTATCCTTGCTCTCTGAAAACAATCCTGAGGGGAGTTGACCATCCCACTCGAGTCGAACGGTGCAGGTGCCCAAATACCTCCTGCGTTGTTCACCGGCCCGAAACCTCAAAGGAGGCCAAGGCAATGACACCTTCCCAGGTTCTCACAGGCATCCGAGCCCACCATCAGAGACAATGCGCCCACCCAAACCTGGGAGCCAGAGATGAGTTCAGTCCACGGTTCATCGCTTAAGTCAGCTTCAAGCAAGTGAGATGGAAGCTGTCTGATATTACTCCGGAAAACAAGACAAATATAGGCAGCAACCAACGGGTCCGGCCATCTCCAGAGTGCAGCGCTTCTGAGGTGCGGGCCATGAGCAGCATCTGCACATTCCAAGACTGCTGAGAGCTGTGGGTATCCAACGCCTCGCTGTATGCTGGCTGTAGGAAACTTGGGGAGTGCCACATGGCCCGTGTCCCTACCAGCGCAGACATGGACTACTGATATGTTGACCAAACCTCACATGCATTCTTCTGCAATGAACTGCAAAGGGGAGAGCGGCCGCGGACTGCGCGACTGTGCCATTGCTTCTCGCTTTCAACTCGCTCGTGTCAGGTGGCCCATCCCCCCCTTTAAATACTTCGCAGCTTGAGGTCCCTGCCGGTTTGCTTGCGAGTTGTGCAAACGCTGCCCGGGCCAATGCCAACCTGACGGCAAATGTGAGCCCCAAGCTGATGAGTCTTCATCAAAACCTGGTACTAAAGTGAGGTTTTGAGGTTTTGATTGTGGCTTAAGTGAAAACAGAAACGTCACGGTGTTTCCCATCTCCGGCACAGCTGCGCTGCAGCATCTACACTTGCCACTGACAATGGATTGGTTGATATATTCCACATTAATAGGGAGGCTTCAAGAGACTTCAAGCGGTGCAGCTGGACTGCCGCAGCTGTAGATGTCTCTTGCAAAGCGAAAAGTTGAACTTGTTTCCAAGGCTTTTGCTGGACCTCTGGGCGTGCCCCATCATTGACACGCGGAAGGCAGAACAGGCTTGGGCTATCCCGAATAAACCTGTGGTGGACTTCTGGCGTAAGCCTGGACAGTGCCTTGATCACATCTGCGCCACTAAAGATCAGCTCTTCGGTCATCTCCTGAGATTGGATCCGTGTCACTTCGCCCATCGGGCGTGCTCAGTTTCTGGAGACATCAAGATGCTTGCCAGTGACGAGGCAAATGTGGGCAAAAGGCCTCGGCTACAAGCAACAACGGCTTCGGTCATTTCAGGTGGCCGAGCGTGCAATGACTTTCAAGACTTGCACGAGGCGTGTTGTACGTGAGATGATGCTAGCAAAGTAGACTTCGCTTTTGGCAACTGCAGTCCTTGGTGACCACGTTGCCCGCCATGATAGTCACCTGCCCAACGAGACCTGCCCTTGTTTCTGTACGCATATTATTTGGACGAGCTCTGGACATGAAGCGATGTCTCCCTGTCCGACTGTCCGCGCACATGGGAACTATGAGAACTGAAACGGTTCTGCAAGCCTCCACAACTCACATCGTCTGGTCTTTCTCAAATTTGCAAGCATTCCCCCCCTAAAATGGTTGGGTTCCTTTTGAGTTGAAAAACTAGTTTCTCCTCATCTGACCCACGATTGTCACAAGCCCATCGAACCGCCTTCGGGTAGGTCTTCCGAACCTCTCGGATGCACTGCACAAAGGCCTCCCGTTCTTTGGGCGTAAGGCACGGCTCACGAGAACGTGTCACGCCATGGTTGGGGTCACCTCAACCGGGTTGGATAGCAAAAGAAAAAATGTGCATACTTTAATGATGGGCGGTTTATGTTTTATGCAATTGTTAAACAAAACAAGAAACTGGAGCAAGAGGTGTTGAACCAGCTGAAGCCCAAGAATGTAGCAATTGCTTTGGTGCTAGTCGCCTCGGAGTAGCCGTTGGCCACATCAATGCAGATCATGGCCACTCCAGGTACCTCGGGCAGCTGACTTCTCCCACAAATCCCAAGCCACTGTTGGGTAGAACGGATGTGGCCATGGTCAAAGGCCCGTACCCCCTGTGAACATCCCAAAATGGGTGGTGCACCTACCCCAAAATGGTACCATTGGTTTTGACGCACAGCCATGTCAGTATGGCGCCTATCCTTTCACATGACCCTTGAAAATTGCTCATGTCTGCAAGGCGCAGCCCCGGTTGAGTCCTATCATGCTATCTTTAAAAAAAAGTCCACGGGGTATCCTGCCCCAACGTGTCCTTCAAAGCTAACGAGGCTCAGAGGCTCGCTGCTTTGAGGATCTCCGCCAGCTTGGCCATGTCCTGGTCTTAACCCATCACTCAGGTTTCCGGACGTAAAATCCCTTGTCGTTTGAAAAGGCTTTGCGGGCCTGCGACGAATGAGCTCCCTGAATCTTCTTCAGTCTGTGAAATTGGGTGCGACCCCGCGGCCATGGAGTTGGATTGGGAGTTGGATCCCGCCTTGTCCAGGATGCCTGTGCTCACTGCAACGTTCTGAATGATGTCCTTGCCCGGGCCTGGCCCAGATCAGGCCCAAAGCGCCACGGGGCTCGCCGGGTTGGGTTGGGCATTCGTCTACGTGCTGGCCTTCAGCCCACTCCTTCCACTGCTCCACGGTGTAGTGCTTGTGGATGGCCGTGATGCCTATGCCGAAGCGCAGAAGACTGGCTGGCTCCAGCTGGATCTCAATCGAACTTAGGATCCTTTACTATTTTGAATCACTCAACTCACGCAGCTGTCGCAGCCCAGGCTCAAATCAACTCATGCACCTTGGGCTCCTATCACAATTCGCAGACCCGAAGTGCGTTGCGCTGGCGCTAAGTGAGGCACACTTCCGCTTGGCCAAAACAGCCGCCACCTGCCAACAGCCAGAAAGGGTGCGAGGGGTGCCAATAAAATTCTGATATGGCTCATGATGATCTCTTGTTCTGTGGAGGCAAGACTGAGAACGGGAGTTTGTGAAACGAAGGACTCTGATCGTTTGTTAGCCCGGCATGCGGGGGCATCATGTGTTGGGAACCAACCACAACGGAGCTACGAACATCATTTACAGCTTCGTGCAGAGATACCAGAATCAAGGACTTGCCACTCCAGATAGAGCGGCACAAAAGTGGTCTTTCAAGGGCCAAAAACGAGGTTCAAAGCTGATAAGCAGCATGGGATGCTTTAGGAAATGCTGCCTTGCTATTCCGATTGCAATGCCTCCTCATTACAAAACGCATTTATACATATGTGTGTGTGTACGCACATATGCACCCCCTATACATGTACATAGGAAATGTGTTGTGTCTCTGCAGCCGTTCAGCGTTGGAGCGTCGCCACGTGGCTTCGATAAACCCAGCCGTCCGCCTCGAAGGTGCCCACGGTGTCCATGTTGGCCGCGATGATGGGCACGCCAGTCCAGGTCTGGTCAGAACATGTGGAAGTGTGCTTGGGGGGTCCATGTGCATGTGTATGCGGGCAAGACCCTTTCTGAGGTTGGTTTTTGGGGGAAGACCCTTCTGGTTGGCGCTTCAGGGAAACCAGAAGGAAACCAGCCATGCTGGGTGCCACGAAATTTGAGGCAATCCCGCAGATCCCATTTTGACGGGAAGACTCAGTTGCCACAAACATCCTGGTATCCTGGTGCTTGCAGGGAAGCAAAGCATGGAATGTGCCCCTTTCGGCCATGTCATAAGAATGGCATAGGCCAGGCGAATCGATAGAAAGAGAGAGAGAGAGAGAGAGAGCGATGCAGCCGCACACCAGTAGAGTCCGAGTCCAATCCGTTCCCAGACTGCCAGCCAGCTCAAACGAAATCGCCTGTTTGGAGTTGGGGAAGATGAACTCCCGCTCGATAGACACCTCTGCCGCAAAATTCAAGGTACACGGCTCGCAAGTCAAGCAACGGCTCCCGGGAGAAGTGCCCCTGCACTCGTAAAAATATGAAAGGACTTGAACGACGGAAACTTTGTTGGGAATGTGCGTCAGCCATGAATACGTTCCCTTCTGAAATCTGCATACTTGATTGTAATTAGCTGTGCACTCCTGCCGCGCCCTCTGTGTCTGGAAACTCAGAGGTATGTATAATTTGGGAACACAGTTAGCCTACCACATCGCCAACAGTGGTGCTCTGAAACCCGTTTCGAGAGCCAATCACAACCTGGCAGTACCGCAATCGTCCCAAAAACCTAGCCAAAGAATCCAAAGGACGGATGCCATCACCCATTTATAACACGGGGGCCTTGCTCTGTGAACATTCCTCTGCTCAGCTTTTGGTTGCAGCTCTTCTTTTGAAAGGAATCAAAAACACCAACAAGGGAACCCAACTTGAACATTCCCCCCACATGTTGAGACGCACTGGGCTTAAATCTTAGACACGCCGAGAACATTGACCATTCCATTCTCTCAATTCTGGGCGCTGCACTTGGGCTCGGCTGGAGAGCGCAGAGCGCTTTGGCCGGATCAGCACGTCCTCCAAAAGCGCGCGGGTATGGCCAAAGGCGGCCGCAGAGCCGTTTGAAGGGGCCAAAAGAATCCTGCGAGGGGTCACACCAACCAACTTGCCCAAAAATAGACGCTGCAAAGACAAACGTGTGATATCATGATTTCGACCACCACCATTAGATATGCAGTTGCGTGTCGCCTCAATATCGTTCAGTGAGAATCAGATAAAATATCCCACAGGCCAATCCGAGAGAGATGTGGGGAATCAGGAACAACAGAGCACGAATGGTTGCACCACTTCAACGGGATTGAAATGGAACCTTAAGTGGAAAGTGGTTTCCTGCAGGCCTTCTGTGCCCTCTGCTCGGAAGTTCTCACTCTTTGCGAAGAGAAGACTAGAAAACTCAGGTTGCATTCCGGCAAATCAACGGGTCGCCCTTGCGCGCTTGCAATCTAAATCGGGATACACACCGCGCCAGTTGCGACCAAGTCTGCAGATCATGCTCACATGTCAAAGTGCGGTTGTTGCGTTGTTGCATATTGGCTTTCTCACTCCGGCAGTTGGCCCCTTGAGACATCTCCTGCTCTGCGACAAGCGTCCCTCTTCCGCTGCCCTTCAGCACTCCCCTCCAATGACCGGGACAGAGCCGCCCCGCCTTGAAGTCCAGCTTCATCTCCGTCTCCAAATGCGGCATGGCGCAGGGGCCTTGCCGGATCGATGAACCGGCAGCTCGTTTGCCAAAGCAAACCGCCTCCCGAACTGAAATCCGATGCCGACCCTCCCCGCGTTGGGCGATGGTTGGTCGTGTCTGCCTAGGCTTCTTGCTGGCCATGCTGGCGTGTCCTTGAGTACTTGTTTGTTGTCGCATATTACCTCCTGACATTGTAAGTTCTTTGACGAACTCCGCCACGTAGAGGAAGGATTGCAACTTTCGGAGCCCATGCTGTCTTCAAAGGTAGGAATCTGAGATAACTTCTATCTAAGCCGTCCTGCCATCAAAACGAGACACTGGGGCTGGACAAGATGAATGGATAGCGGCAAATTGATTCGACATGCAGCTTTGGAGAAATGCGGAACTTTCAGACGCATTGCACAACCGGAAGATAGGTCAAACAGGCAAGGATGTTACGATCCACTGCTAACGGCTAGTGACGGCAGTAGTCATGAAGCCACCCCGCTCTAAATTGCGCTACAAACACACACACACACACACACACACACAGACTCCTCCTGCTCATGCACAAGTACCTTACAACATTGCAACAGCATCAGGCGAATATGTCAGTCATATCTTTAGCGTTCGTTGACTCTGCGAAGGACAAAGGAATGTCTGCATCGCCGGCAGCATTCCCCTGCCCACTGCACAAGAGAAAGTGGCATTGGAATGTGTGTTTTCCCTTGGATGTTGATTTATATTTTTTTTGGAATCAGCACGGGATGCATGACTCATCACGATGGAACAACATTTGGATGCCGGCAAAAGGAGCATGCCGGTGCTTCCGAGGTGCAGACGTTGGACCTTCTCCCTGTATGGCGCTTGAGCCCGATTCAGCTGCACATCGTAAAAACCACACGCCGTTCCCGTCTCCAACCCCGGAACTGGCCTCAAGCCCAACCCGGCGTGCCCCGACGAAATGGCGCAGGCAAAGTTGCTGCGCCTTTTCCTCTGGCACCTGTCATTTCCCCAAAGCCTGGACCGCGCTGAAACTCGGGCACCAGAGCGATGCCAGGCTTTTGGGGCTCCCCTGGTCCGGATCCTGAAAGGGCTGGTCAAAGTAAACTAGAAATAGCGTGCGACTTGCACGGACACGCAAAATAAAAACACCGTACTGGTTCAAATCCCAGAGCTTTTGAAGTGCAAACAGTTACGTGGGTTCAAGCCACCACTAAACAAAAACAGCAAACAAGAAAGTCAGCAAGATTGAAAATTTGGCTTTGGATAAGTCCAACCACTGCAGAATGTCCAGCACAAGGTTCTGCGAAGCTAAATGCATTCAACGCTAACATGACATGGAAGGCAAGCACTGTAACAAAAATATATCCCCAGCTGCCACATAGGCTGCAACAACCATCTAGTGGATTGATCAAAGGAGATGCGTGCGGAATGCTACTGTGCACAGTTGATGCAAGGTTGGCTTGCATTTCAGCAACAAATCAAAGACCTTGCAAAGCCAAGTAAAAACATCCGAGCCCAGGCAGGTTCACCCACTGTCAGTCCCGGACCATCAGAGAGGGCAATGCCCCCGCATTGCGACCCCAGGAGCTTGTCCCGCTGCGGGAAAAGCCCATGCTGGAAACAGAACCATTGTCAGGTGTCAGCCATCTTTTGCCCCCAAACAGTTGGTCATGAAAGTTGTTCCCCATCATGCCAGGGATTTGCTGCCACAAACAATCCTCCCGAGCTCTCAGAGCCAGGCTTTCGCCAGTGGCGACTGGCACATCCCCGTCAGCGCCTTGACCGCTTCACATGTTGCTTCATCACCTTCGTCACCTGCGAAAACAGCGACGGTAAGCTGGGCAAGAAAGTCTCGAAAGTACTTGGCGTTTTGCGCCGTTTGCATCATGGATCGTGGAACCCGACGCAGCAACGCACACAAGGAAATGCTTGGAAGAGGTTCCCACCAGTTGATCTATGGCCACCATAGGTTACATACAGAGAATGGGTCGACTCCATGGTTTACTGAGGCCAAAGTGCTCTCGAGTGCCCAACGGCCTGCTTCCCACGCTTCGCCTGAAAGAATAGCTGGGTCGGACAAGGCTTGGGCTGCAAGTGGGAAGTGTGACCAGGGAAGTAACAGAAGCATCTTGGGATCAACCTTGGGAGGCTGTTGCTTCATTCTTGCCAGGGACATGTTTGAGTTCTGGCATGCTTGGAACTCAAGAAACCTAGACAGAAGGCTGTGGCTGTGATTGGTGTGTGCAAAGGAGCTGCCGAAGCTTTGAGTTCCAATCCACCTCGGTCAGTTTCAACAAGTCCGTTGCCTGCCTGCCGCTTGCGAGCGGTTGCTTGCCCCATCTGGGCAGGTGAATCGCGTGTCAAGATACGGCGAGTAATTCAAACGAGTGGTTTGAAGCCAAAGCAATGGTCCCAAAACATACCAGAGAAGTGATGCTTCAAAGGCTGTTGGAGATGTAGCTCTTGCAAGTCTGACTCCTAAGCAAATCTGAGAAGCCTATGTCAGCCATTTCTGAAAGGCCTGCCTCTTAGAAGTCCCAAGAAGGTGGCCAGAACATCATGCAATTGCCGGCAAGCCAACCATTCAACGCCATGCCTTTCCGAGGCTGCGGGCCCTGCGCTTCGGCCTGACTTGACGGCAGACGTCAGTGACAGACGGTCGCCTGGTTCTAACCCCCATGCCATAAGGACTGAAAAGGACTCAAAGGGACTGAATGGGACTGAAAAGGACAAAGGGACGGGTCCGTTGTGCTAAGTGAGTACTTTGCCCCAAAAAGGCCAAAGTTGTGCCACTCAGCACTCGGAAGAGTCCCGGACTCTTTGTCTGCAGCCTTGGCTTCCTCCACCTGAAGCGGCATAGGATTTGGGATGCAAATGGATGGGGTGCTCCGTTGCTTAGGTGGAACACTGATCAAGTGCATGTCTGATTTGGCACTGTCTTGTCTGTGATCTTCATCCGGTACGCACTCATGTAGAAGAAAGGCCTGCGGTTGCTTCATGCCTCTTGCAAATTTGCCCAGCAATTTAGCCCATATCGTCATATCGCGCAACCTCGACAGGTGATTGAATCGGTCACAACAACAGTGCTAAAGTTCGCTTCAAGCCACAAAATCCTCCCCAACCAAGCCCCCTCTCCATTCGTATGCCACTTTGGGAATGCAGCTGTCAAAGATTGGGGGCCCTTTGGGGAGGAGCAGCACAAGATCGTTGCCATTTGGCTGTGGGTCAAAACCAATGGATACGTTTCCCGCATCCCGAAGCCGGCCGCTTCACACGCCTCCCGCTGCTTCACACGCCTGGCCAGCCAGGTGAGCCCCAGCACCTCCGTGCGGGGGATGGGGACCCATGGACGTGGCTCATGGGCTGGAAAGCAATGCCGATCTTGACCAAGCTGATATGGGGGATGACCATGGGTAACTTTTCCCAACCAGTGGTGAAAGTCAGATTCCATGAGATGGTTCCCTTTCAGAGTGTTTTGCTCAAACCAGACGAGAAAGCATGGGACCTGCCATGCAACAGCTCGCATGCCTTCAGAGCATCGTAGACAGCCCATGTCTTTCTCCGCTCATAGCGCAAGGAGCCAGTCTTTGCCTCGAAAACTTGGCGGCGAAAGGACTCTGCTTCTCACTTGCTGCAAGTGCTCCAAATGTAAAGGTGTTACTGCTGGGATCTTCGTTGCGGGTGGGGGGGGCACACAACAGGGGTATTTCCGTTTGGCCACACTGCCAGCTCATCCCGGCCGATCAGTCTCATCCCAGGTCGCCGGCCCAACGCAGCAGCGAGCGGAGCACCACCAGCGGCATCTTGCTCAGCAGGCCCCCCTCAAACCGACCGCGCGCGCCGGATGACTCTCTCCGCGTGTGTGCGCATGTAACTCGACACGTACTTTCATCGCTTGCCCCACAGCTTACGAGACGGGTTCGGTCGCATATCAGCTCTAAGAAAGGTACTACAGAAACAAAACCACTGCCGAAATCTTGCCCGCTCTCAATGAACACACCGACCATGTTGGGCAAACGCCCATTATTTCCCAAGTTCTCATACAAGCTCTGTTTCTCTGTTTCCTCGTGGGCATGACTTTTTCAAGTGCATTTATACGACAAAAACACAATTTAGGCAAGCACGCAAAAAAACTTGCAAGTCAGTATGCACGCTCAAGTGCATTCGCTAGAAAGGGGGCCAACAATTTGGGAAACACTCCGCCCAGCGTTTCAATTGAATGACGTCTTTCTTCTTCGCTGAATTCGCTCCCGCGGGTTGCCATTGCACGAAGCAAATGATGCCAGTTAGTGGTGTGCAGTGTGAGAAAACATGGGCCTTTGAGCTGTCCCCGTGTGTCCTCCCCAAATGAACCGCAGAGTGAAAGTGGCCGGCCTCATGGTGCCTCTGGCCAACATTTTTCGGCTGAAGCTACTGGGCTGTGGGCTGCTTGCACTGCTCTTTCTCAGAAAAAATAAATAAATATATATATATATATATAT